TCCCTCTTCAGTCACCTTGTGAGGGGAACAGCAAGTTCTTCCTTACCGTGCTGCCCACAACTCTGTCCTGGAATGATGAAAATGGGATCCGTGGCTCTTCAGGCCTCTTCATTCTTCTAACTGAGCCTTGTCTCTGCAGTGACTGTGCAAACCTCGAGAAAACCAGGGAAGAGCTACAGCAACAGCTTGATGCAGTGGAGCAAGAAACCTCGCGTCTGCGTCAAATTAACACTGAACTGCAGCTGAAGGAAGATTCAGCCCAGGGGGAAAAGATGGAGCAGCAACAGACCATGGAGAGAGCGCGTCGTAACCAGGAGCTGCTGTGAGCATTAAAGCTTTCTCTGGGCAGGGTGGGGTGTTGCTGGACTTTAGGAGGCCCACTGTAAAAGAATGAATTTTATGTGCTCATCATTTCTAGCATAAAAGGGTGAAAGGAGCACGTGGGCAGGTCTGGCTACCTGCTGACATAGAGCATAGCTGCCTCCCTGGAATGACTTTGTCACCCTTCAAAAAAATCATTCCAAGCCTGACCAGAGTAGTTGATGGCAGGCGTAAGCTGAAACAAGAGGTTCAGACTGGATTTAAGGAGAACACAAAATTGAGCCATGAAGTCAATCACGCAGCGGAACAAACTGCTCAGAGAGGTTGTGCAGATTCCATCCCTGGAAACTTGGGAGGACCCAACTGGATAGAGACTTGAGCAGCCTGGACTGATCCCATAGCTGACCCCCAGCTGAAGATTGGGCTAGAGGCCTCCTGGAGTCCCTGCTGCCTGAATCATCCTGTGATCCTATGATTATTGGTTTGGAAATTCATGCACATCTCCTCCCCAGATAGATTGCAGGCTCTTTCATTGTTTCACTGCTGAAGGCAAGAGTAATTGTGAGAATATTAATCTGGGCTTTAAAGGTCTGTCTTGCCCCAATAAGAACTTTGGAAGGTCTTATATCCAATGTATCAAAAAGGAGGTGTGGGGAGAGAGAGAGAGAACAAGCAATCAGGAAGCTGTTGAGAGTACCTGCATTTTTTTGAAAAGTACTGTGATTTCTGGAAGCTACTTGTACTTTCTCAATGACAAAAGTTTCGCCTACATCAACGACAGAATGACGCAGCTGTAGTCAGGGAGTTCAAGCATTGCAGAGGTGTCAATAAAAAGTCACTGGAAATCAGTCCAACTGCCATCTCTGACATGGAGAACGTACTCTTGGTTTTGGAAATGAAAATGTGTTTACACTCAACACTTGTCTGTCTTTCCCCCTTCGCACAGACTGAAGGACTTAGCGGCACTTGAAGAAAAACATTCCTTATTACAGAGTGAGTTGGTGGTTACGAGAGAGGCACTGGAGGAATCGCACCTTCAGAGGGATCTGCTGAAGCAAGAAAAACGTGAGCTTAGCACGGCCCTGGAGAAGGTATGGTCCCCTTGTGAGAGCAGGACCCCCACAGATGCTGTTTGTGGCAGCAGAAGACAGGGAACATGTTCTTGTCCTTCTTGGGAAGTGGTGCTGAGGCCGCCCAGGCTCTTTGGTGTAGTTGGTCCCCCCGTGCTCGTTGGGAGGGCTGAACTTGGGGGTATGTCAGAGACACGCAGGGGATGTGGAATGTCCGCTGGAAGGCAGGGATTTTCCTGCCTCTGTTGTCATGTTGTTCTTTTGTCTCTTCAGGCAGAGCAGTCAGTGGCAGAACTGACAGTGGCTCAGAACAAGCTGAGTGCTGAACTCACTGATCTGCGTGTGGCAACAGCCAACGTGAGCGGTATCAATGAAGCTCTGGCCCTGGATAAAGTGCAGCTGAACAAAATTGTGCTGCAGGTGAGCAGGGTTGGCAAAGGTCATGGCAGATGTGCATCTCCAGCTGCTGCTGCTTCTCAGAGCTCGTGCCTTCCGACAGCGTGACTGACTGCCGATGGGAATGTTGTTCCTTCTTCTGTCCAAGCCAAACCTTCTTCCTGGTGAGTCTCAGCGTCTTTGATTTGCGGTGTGCTTCTGTGCTTGCAGCTGGAGGGAGAGAATGAAGCTCTGTCGGGTGAAGTGGAGGAGATGGAGAGAGCAAAGATCTCTGCCCAGGAGCAGCTGAGCTTGTGTGAAAGAAGAAATGAAGAGCTCTGCGCAGAGAAAGCACAGCTGGAGCAGCTGCTGAAGAAAGCGGAGGAGCACCAAGAGGGTCTGCGGGTAGAGCTGAGGATCCTGGCAGGGGAGAAGGAAGAAGCCCAAGAGAAACTCATTGAGGTGAGACCCAAAATCTGGTGCTTCTGGGCGGGCGTTTGGCTGTGTGGCTGCATGAAGCCGTATGTGTTGGGTTCTGCCGTGGTTTTGCCAAGGAGACAGTGGGTAGCACTGGAGGTGAGGCGGCTTTGTTTGCTCCTTTTTGGAAATGTGTTGGTGTCTTGCGGAGGTGTTCTGCAGCTGTGGGAGTTGTCCTCCGCTTCTGCAGCCCACAGCACAGGAGCTCTTTGTCCTGTAGCTGCTTCAGCTGTGGCAGTGGGTGGCTCTGCAGAGAGCTCCCGAGAAAGGACTCTGAGTGTATTTTGTTACGCTTTCAGGCTCACGGCCAGCTGGAGTCGGCGAGCAGTGGCCTGGAGCAGTTGCGCCAGGAGTCCTGTGGCCAAGGGCACGCACTGGCCGTGGTGTGTGAAGAGAAGGACTTGCTGGTGCGTGAGAAGGCTGCCCTAGAGGTGCGAGTGGCAGCCATGGAGCGGGACAGACACGGCCTTTGCGAGCAGCTGGCAGAGGGCAGGTAAGGGCAGGGAGGAGACCCTGGGCAGGACAGGGTTTAATGTCTGCAGTGAGTGTGGTGGTAATCATTCCACGAGGGTTTATTGCATCCTGTGTGCTTTCTGGAGGTTTTCACTTCCATGGACAGAAAATGGAAGACTGTCAAGCCAAAAACAACCTGTGTTGTTATTTGGAGGTTATTTTTGTGACAGCTAAAGCTGGCAAAGCTCTCCTGACCCTTGGGCTCATGGTTATGCCCTCTTGTTCATTCTTGTGTGAAGTCCACAGCAAGCCAACTTGGCTCTGAATTGAGTCCTAATTAAACTGTGGAGACGTTTTCTGAAACCGGAAGTTTCTCTCTGGTCATGGTTTCTTTTTCTGTGCATTTGAACATAGATCTTTCCTTATCAAGTAGTTTGATGTGGGATCTTCAGAGTTCAGGGCTATGGCATATGAACATTATGAGTAGGATGCTGCCCTTAAGGGTGAATCCAGACGCTCGTGCTCAAAATCTGGAGGGCCTTCTGTTTCTGACCTAACTTGTGTTAAGCATGGTGCAGGACCCAGAGTTGGTCACAGCAGCAGCAGGGAAACCTCTCTCAAATGCTCACCAGTCTTCAGGGGTTCTTGCCCCTCACTGCCGTCTGGGTCCTGTACTCCTTAGCACATGCTGTTAGAGACAGACCTCATGGAGAAGTTATACAGGGAAGAAATGAGATTCTGTGCTTCTGCTGTATCAGGTTTCTAAGATCAAATGTGACAAGTTCTGCTTTTCCAAAAAAAAAAAAAAAAGAAAGAAAAAAAGGAAAAAAGAAAAGGAAAAAATATTGAGATGTTTGTCCACCTCTTAGGTGTTTTTCAGAAGACTGCTGAACTGGCAGAGCTGTACCTGTACAAATGATGTTTCAGAGAGTGGGGTTTATCGTTTTACCGCTCAGGATGTTATCCTGCTGGCATCCCGTACTCGTGAGACAGTGCTGTGTATTGGAGGAAGCTGGCACACGGGACACTGGATTAGGTCAGGGAGGTAACTGCAGCTCCGGCTTCCAGAGTCGTGTGTGTCATGCGCAGCAGTGGGCTGAAGTCTGTTGGTGTAACAGTTTGCATCTGCGGTACTACAACTTCCCTTTGACAAAGCGATGGGTCATTTGGGCTACTGCCTGCTTAGTTAGCAGCACTTGAGTAAAGGGAGCAAGTTGTTCTCTTGAACTTCCAACGGTATAAACATAAGGATGCCTGTCTTTCCTTTCTGATACTTCTTGTTCAGATGAAATGGAGTTCTGATTTCTCACAAATGCTGCTCCCAGCATGAGATGTATCAATTGATGTATTTCTTTATTCCCTTTTGCACAGAGGGAGTCTGGACACTGGGCTGCCTATAGCTACGCTCTGGACAGCATGCAAAAGTCCCGCATCAGCCAGGGAAAGCCTCTTCGTGTCTCCCCCTGCAGAGCAGCGTGGCAGTGTCGCTGAGGGCTGTGAGCAGAGGCTGGGCTGTTGCTTGCTGGCACAGGCTTTGTGGGCACAGCTGCCCGTGTGTCAGAGATCCCCCACGAGCGATTCCAGATGTGGCTCTTGCACCCCAATTCGGCTGGGCTCTCTGTGTGACGCGGGGTGCTAAGGAGAGCCTGGGCACTGCCTCGGAGGGGCTGCATTGCTGTGGCAGACCTGGCAGAACTGGGCTTTGTATGCACAAGTTTCCATGCAAGGCATTTTCCGTCGGCAGGGGTGGGGATGTGGAAGCCCTTCTTCCTGGAGGAACTCCCTGTGGGTGTGAGGAGTGAGAAACTCCTTTCTCTCCCTCTTGGCGTTTTGCAGGTCAGTGAAGGAGACCCTGGAATCCAGCTTGTTTGAGGCTCAGCAGCACTTATCTCAGCTGGAGATCGCCAAGAGTCATCTTGAAATGCAGCTGCACACAGTCACACAGGCCAAGGAGGTGATCCAAGGTGAGAGGCTGGTGTTTGTGGAGATGCCCCTGCCTGGGGAAGGCGGTATCAAACAGCTCTGTGTCCACAGTGCTTCTGAGGAGTGCAGGAGCTGGAGGGAGATCCCTCCTGCCCTGAACTTCAGATGGCTTCAGGTAGTACAGCCCTCAGCGTTGTTTGTGCGGGCACTGAATGTGCCGTTTGTGCTGTTTGCAGGGGAGGTGAAGTGCCTGCGATGGGAGCTGGAAGCAGAAAGAGATCTCCTGAAGCAGGAACGGGAACAGGCAGCGCAACAGCTCTTGCGGACAGAACAGCAGCATAAGGATACCCTCAGACTTCAGGAATCTGATCACAAAGCGGAGATGAACAAGCTCCTGCAAGACCTGGTAGGAAACAATGTGCTTTTGAATTCTTCCAGCAAGCTTTGTGGGCTGGCATTAGGAGAATAGTAGCCTGAGCATGTGAAATGGCAGCAACCATCTGTCATAGGCCACGCAGTGCTGGGCCAGGCAGCAGAGGCATTGGCTCGTGCTTGAAGGCACGTGAGGGCCCCCAGGACTCTGCTGGGACAGTAGATGCAGCCACAGAGTCAGCGTGGGCGTAAGGCGCATTCAACAACAGGTTGGGTGGTCCCCACCCAAAGCACGGCAGCGGAGGGGTAGGGTCTTTCCAGACTCCTGTCTGCCATGAGTTCGACTCCGAACATTGCTGCCCACTGCAGTCACGGCAACTGCGTTCCTTTCTTTGTGTCCTTTGAGGGCTGACAGAGGTAGTGAAGCATATGGAACGTTCCCCTTGTCCTGGTTCTTCAGAGGGTGGCCTGTCCTGTGGCTTGGGCATCAGGGTACGGTCTCTTTCTGAGCCTGTAGTCCATCTGTACCTTTTCATTGATGAAAAGGGAGGTGAGCTTTGAAAAGAGAGACTCTGAGAACAGAGAGAAATGCTGAGGAGAGAGGTGCTAGGAAACGGGCAGCCATCAGAGAGGGGGAGGTACCATCTCCTTCTGTCCCACCTGCTGACCCTCCGTTGAAGTTCCTTGATAGGACACGCTTGAGGGAGGGCACAAAGCCACTACTGTGCACTGTTCAGGATGGGGGTTGTGGGGCGGATGAAGCTTCACATTGTTTTGAGGAGCTTGGTTGGGACTTCATCTTGAAGTCTTTTCCCGCATTCATCAGGCGAGCGAGCGGGAAGGGCACCGTTCAGAGCTGCGGGAGATGCTGGAGCAATGGCAAAAAGAGAAGGCAGAGGCAGAAGGGGAGCACGCGAAGATGCTGTTTGAGATGAAGCAGAGAGTTGCTACTGTGCAAGCTCAACATGAAGAGGAACGAATCAGAGCAGAAAATGCCAAGCAAGAGGTAAAGAGTGTGAAAGGAGAACTTGTGTGTGTTTTTGCAAGGCTGGAGCTGTGGGATACACACACACACACACACACTTGTGTGTGTTTTTGCGGGCTGGATACTGGGCTGTGTGGAGCATGCCCTCCGTGTTTTCTATGTGGAATTTGGTGAGGAGAAAGGTGAGCAGGGCTATGTCTGGGACTACAAATGAGACCTCTCATAGGAAGCCAGGCAGGAGCGTCACCTTTCAGTTGAGATTTTTGTGCTGCTTTTGTGTTCTGTTTTTTTTTAAGACTTACCTCAGAGTATCTTGACAGTTCTCTTAACGATATCTCTTTGGATATTTACTGATACCCCCAACTGTGTCTCCAGGGATTGAAATGACAGGGCAGCACTCAGAGGTGACAGTGTGTCCCAGTAATGTCAGTACTTTACCCAAGTCTACCGAATCCATGAAAACAGAAGCAATGTTCACCAAACCTCACTTAGAATACAGGGGTTTTCTGAAGGGGCTGCTAGCTTCAGCCCTCTGGCAGCCTTGCATTTTCCCCACTAGTGAGGTGCAGAAGGGGCTGTTGAAAGTCAGTCAGGACACAGCAGAAGAGGAGGGACACCCTCACCAGCAAGGCAAGACACTTGAGAAAAGCCACTCAGTTCCCTGCTAGATGAGTAAGAGTTTGTGGAAAGTTCAGTCACAGATGGACGGTGGATGGACCGTGTTTCTCCTGCCAGTGTCCCTTAGGAAGCTCTGTCTCCAAGGGGGCAGATGAGGAGCAAGGAGAGCAGCAGGACAGTGCTTGGAGAAGGCGTGAGCCCATGCATCTTTGAGTCTCGCCACACAGATTTTGTATGGGAAGTTTCATAGAATCATAGAATTGTCTAGGTTGGAAGAGACCCTTGGGATCATCGAGTCCAACCATCTACCCTACTCTACAAAGTTCTCCTCTACCCCATATCCCCCAACACCACATCTAAACATCTCTTAAACACATCCAGAGATGGTGACTCAACCACCTCCCTGGGCAGCCTATCCCAGTGCCCGACCACTCTTTCTGTGAAAAATTCTTTCCTAATGTTCAGTCTAAATCTGCCCTGTTGGAGCTTGAAGCCATTCCCTCTTGTTCTGTCATTAATTACCTGTGAGAAGGGCCCAGCACCAACCTCTCTACAGTGTCCTTTCAAATAGTTGTAGAGAGTGATGAGGTCTCCCCTCAGCCTCCTCCTCCTCAAACTAAACAGTCCCAGCTCCTTCAACCACTCTTCATATGATTTGTTTGCTGGGCCCTTCACCAGCTCCGTTGCCCTCCTCTGCACTCGCTCCAGCACCTCGATATCTCTCTTGTATTGAGGTGCCCAAAACTGGACATAATACTGGAGGTGTGGCCTCACCAGTGCTACAGGCTTTCAAGCTGTCTTGTCTGTGTTTTGTGTAGGTCCTGCTGGAAAAGGAGCGTGAGAAGAGTGCTGTGTTAGAGAGGCTGCGGCAAAGGGAGGGAGAGCTGAGAGAAGTGTCGCAGCAGCTGGAGCAGCTCAGGCAGGAGGTGAAAGAGCAGCAAGAGAAGGGACAGGTGAGTGTGAGGAGTAGGGGAGGTTGAAAGAAGAGGTGGTTGGCATGTGGCTGTAAGCTGGGAGAGGCAGGGAAGAGAGTGAGGGGCAGGAAGGAGGAGAGAAAAGGCAAGTCCTGGATGTGAGGAGGCGAGGAGTACTGCAGGCCCTGAAAGCCCAGAGCCTGGTAAGCTTCAGAGATGAGCAACAGGAAGGAGGGGTCACAGTGCCAGCAGAGCTGGGTAGCAAAGCAGAAAGAAGCGGCTGAAGGAATGTGCTTTAGAGAGGGAAAGAGGAAAAAGCTGAACCCAATGGCAGGGGCCAGTAACTGCTCTGCATTTGTTTTCACAGAAGGTCACAGAAAAGCTGCAAGCAGAGCTGCAGGAAGCTCAGAGTACGATGAAGGCAGTGGAGAAGAGGCACAAGGAAGAAATCAACACCGTGAGAGAGGAAATGCAGATCCTTCATCAGCAGAGGGATGTCCTACAAAACCAGGTGACTGAAAGAGCATCAGCTACTCTAGGCATCACACAGATGGTCTCTGCCTTTCTTGCCTTTCCATTGTGAAGCAGGCTGATGGGGTAGTCCCTCTGATTGCCATCCTACTGTGGGCTCCATCTCAGCTGCTCTGAAGGAGACTTACTGGTCAGCTGAATCTCAGCTGCTGCCCTGGACAGTTGGGCTTGTCCTTTGGCTTGTTTGCCAGCAACCATCAGAGCAGGCTTCTGCTGGCCTGTTATTGCCAGCCTTGGTTTTTAAGGTGGTGTTTCAGATGAACGTGGGCACTCACTTAGAATTTTAAACAAGTCAGCTGTATCCATTGTGAATCTGTTGAGTAACATGATAGGGTGGAATTTAAAGTTGCCCTTTCCTCACAGTCTGTGATATGGCTGACAGTGAGAAGCTGTAGTCTGACCGCTTTGTTCTGTTTCACTTGAGGTGGAAGAGTTGACATCTCAGCTAGCAGCCTCCGAAGAGTCCCAGCAAGTGATTGGCCGCAAAGCTCAGCGAGATCTGAGTGAGGCACAGGAACTGTCAAGGCAGAAAATGCTGGAGGTTGTGCACCTCCAGAAGATCCTGGAAGAGAAGAGGAGTCAATGGGAGGAGGTAGAACATCAGAACAAGGAGCTTCAAGTGTGTCTGCAGTCTTTGGAGGAGGAAAAGAGTCGGTGGGAAGAAGTGGAGCGTCACAACACAGAATTTCAGACTTCATTGAAGGTCCTGGAGAGTGAAAAAGCCAGGTAAATGAAAGCCTGTGAGGGTCTCCATTCTGTTTCATGGGTTCCCTTTTTCAGATCAGATATGAGCGGCCCTGGCAGCATTTCCTAAAAAGCAGCGTTCTGAACTATCCATGCGGATACATTTAATTCTCTTGGTGTTGTGTTTCATTTTCTTTTCTCTTAATCTTTCAATTACAGTTTTTGTGAAGACAATGGCTTTCAGAGAGTAGTCCTTTCCTTAAAAGGAGGTGTTCTTCTGTTAGGTCAGCATATTAATACTTTTCAATGACGCTTGCAGGATTTTCAAACCTGAATCGCACCAAAGGAGGCAGGACGAGCCACAGTAGAATGAGCTAGATAGATCCATGAGCTCTGCCTTGGGTCCAATAAATTTTAAATATTTGGCATCCGTATCAGTCTTCCATGCTGATACCTTTGGTTTGCAGGAGCCATCCTAAAACGGTGATTTTGAACTAAGCCAGATTTCCCTCTGAGGCACTCAAGAAACAAGAATGCATCTTATCACCGCCTGTTTCCTTGTTGCTCCAGAAATCCCAACAGGTGTCCGGAGAGGCTCGAGCAGGATCTCTGCCAGCCTCAGCAGTTAACGGGTGTTACTGACTGAATGCAAGAGAGAAGAGGAAGGGTAGGTAGACTACTTCAGCTGGTGAAATCCTGCCAGTCTTCAACACATACCTTCATTGAAGAGGAGAAATAGAAGGCAGTGCATTCTTGCTTCCCCTATGCTTATCCAGCATAGGGAATATGCTTATCCAGCATATTATCTAAGGATCGAAGTACCTCCTCCAAGCCTCCATTACCACTTCTGGTATCAGCCTCCGCTTCTTTAGCTGGAAGTAATATGGCTCCTGGCAAGTCTTACAAACCTCCCCAAAGATCACCTTGCTGTCAGTTGCTGCTGTTCCTGCCAGGACATAAGAGCTAGGGGAAGACGATTGCTCTTCCTTATTGACAAAACCTCTCCCTTGGAGACTCATTAGTCAAAAGAAAAATTTTCCTCTTAATGTCAGCATGTCAAGACTTTGTTATGTTTATATTCACATTCCCATCTCAAGAAAGGTAGGGTGTTTAGCCAGTTATTCACCTTTCTTCTGTGGAAACAAGCGCAGAGGGCACATGCTTGAGTGTGACTGCCAGCCTGGCTTAGCACTGAGCAAGCAGCCTGGTTGTTTAGACTAAGCCATTTTCCCCTTGGTGGTGGAAGTCCTAAGAGTTTATTAAATTTTATACCTTGTAGTAATAAGTTGCATGCTCTCTCTTTCAGACTGACTCTGTCTCTGGAAGAGAAGGAACTGAGCCTCAGAACCCTGGAAGAAAACAACCTTGCCCAGCACAATGAGGTGTCTCAGCTTCTTTCTGCTATTCACCAGGCCCAGCAGCTCCATTCAGTTCACAGAAGAGAAATACTTCTCACCCTTTCTCACACACACAGCTGAGGTCTGAAAGCATGAGAACTTGACGGTTCGAGCTTTCCTTTGGGGATGGGGAAACTTCCTTCTGCCCCCTTAGCCTCCAGATACCTGTTTCTAGCTTATTTTCCTGTTTGAATCCTTGGCTTTTGTGCCTTCAGTTTCCAGTGTGTTTTTTGCTTGAAGTAACTTCTCCTTCATTCCTTCCTCTACTGCCTGCTCTGCTGCCTCAGTAACAGCACTGTCCCTGAGGCTCTGTGCATCTGTGTTCCAGATACAGTCACTGCAGGAGGTTGTGCTGGAGAAGGAGGCTGGCCTGGCAACTCGAGAGAAGCAGCTGCTACAGGACCTGGAGGAGTCCCAAGCAGGCGAGCGGGGCTTGAGGGACTCTCTGCGCCTGCTAGAGGCTGAGATGTCTGAACTGCGCTTGAGGCTTTGTAGCACAGAGAACAGAGCAAAGGCATTGGCCGCAGAGTGTCAGCAGGCGAACAGTGCCCGCTGTGAAGCCCAATCCCAGCTGGACAAACTGCGCTTGGTTCTCCACCGCCTGATGTGTGACAGCAGAGACTTAGTCCCTTGGAGTTCAGGTGAGTGCGGAGGTTGGGTGAACAAGTCTATGGAGCATGTATAGGAGAGCAGGTGGAGGGAGGGGTGGTTCTTTGTCATCCCAGTAGGATAGACTCATCCTTTCAGTTGAGGCTGATTCAAGCCTTGGGAAGTCTGGAGAGCCTGACGTCCCTGCAGATAGACAAGTCCGTGTCTGTACATGGAGAAATGACCGGCATCAAAACAAAATAGGGCCCGAATCATGTCAAGTGATAAGCCATGTGCATTCTTCCTTGGGTCACCGCTGACATTAGTGGTCATCAAAATAACATTAGCTTGTGACACACGTCTAGCTGTAACGTCAGCTTTACGATGACGTCAAAGGCACTGCCACCTTCCGCGTATAAAGAGGCCTTGTTTGTTGGAGACCCTTCAGTTCAAGCTTGAAAAGCGTGGCTTCTCTCTTCAGAACAGGGTCACGTCTGGGGCCAGACTGTTTCTCAGGCCAGGGACCTCCCTGCAGAGCTCACTGTGGACAGAGTGACAGCAGCCCTACAAGACCTGCATCAGCACCTGAAGCAGACTCAGCAAGATCAGGTAATGTGTGTCTGGTGCACCCAGAAGTCCTGTCCCTCTGCTAGACTGAAGTGACAAGCAGAGTGCCAAAGCCAGAAGGGGTATACTATCTTGTAGGCCAGGTGGGCTTGCTGCCATGGGGAGCAAGGGGAATCATGATCACATCTGCCGTGACTGTCCAACTGCCCCTTCCTGCCTTGGCTGTTTCGGCCTTAGTGTTTGTACCTCTGTCTGCTGCCAGCAGTGGCTCTGTGAGGTGGCACTTCCCTTTTTACCTCTTTCAGAATGATGCGAGGAAGAAGATACAGGACTTGGAGCTGGAGCTGAGCAAGAGGCAAGCTGAGAGGGATCATTTCAGTGCCCACAATCAAGAGCTGCAGAAACAGTTGGCTCAGAGCCAGGAAGGTATAGCTTCTCCTTTCCAACCCATTGATGCTGTCCTGTCTCACCAGCGGGGATCTCTGATACCACCCCAAGGAACTAGTCACCTCTTCCTTGAATATCCAGGACATCCCAGAGCCTCCAGGGCTACTGGCCTCTCTGCATCATAGCTGGACAGGCATCTCTGCTCCTTTCTCTGTCATTTGTTTTCCTACACTCCACATCAGAATTGCTTTTTCATGTCACTTAATCTCATTTCCTCTCTATCTGTAGTCCTTCTTGCTTCAGGTCTCGGTGCTGGTATGATGCTCAGTTGTTCTTGCCTTGCTGTTGTCCTAGCATCACGAACTATTTCCTTCCTTCTTTTTTTCTGCCAGTGCACAACGTATTCCCCTAGCATTCTTTTGGACAAACACCACAGTGCATTTTCAAGCACAACATTGACATCTGTTCTTCTCTCTAACATCTCTTAAGTCTTGCTGGTCAATGAACTGTGTCATAGTCAGTCTTCACTTTTGCTGCTTCTTCCTTTTCCTTTAGGGCACAAGATCTGACTCTTACCTCCTGTCGCTGTCCTTGTTTCCTCGATGTCGGTTCTACCTGCTTCTAGCACTGTGAGCAATGCACTACTGTGCCCTTAGCCCTGGCCTTTCAAGAAGCAGAAGAGCAAACACATTTTCATATTCTTCTGAGCCTTGCCATTTATGTTCCTTTTTTCTCCCTGAAAGTTTCCTTTCTTTATTTCTGCTTTCAAGGTCCTTGGGGGCTTAGGGCCTGGAAAACACAGGCAGGCAGATAAGGGAATGATGTTTTCTCTGTAGGATGCAAATCAGTTTGGTTTTGCTTTGCTTTTCACCTTCTCCTTCACCTTTTCTGCTGCAGAGACACAGGTGGCAGAATGCAAGAGGAACTCTCTACAGGCTGCCCTGCAGGAAGAGGCTGCTGCTCGAAAGGAGGAGGCTATGGCTCTACATCAAGAGGTGGCATCTTTGGAAAGGAAACTGGAGAGGGCTGAGAAGCAAAGGCAGGATGTCCTGGTGAGGCTGGCAGATGCTGTGAAGGGCAATTTCTTACATATTTTTTGGCCTTTTGTTAATAATTGTAAGAAGCAACATTTTCCAGCAGAGAGCTGATTTTGGGTGGTCTTGTACAAGTTCAGTCCACACTCTCTCTTCAGTCTACCCGGCTCTCAGGCTTTCTTCCCCAGGTGTGCATTTATAGGCACTGTTACATACAGGACACTATCCTAGACATCTGAGCCCATGCAGCTGCTCTGACAGGATCAGTATTTTCCCACTTCTCCATTTACAATGACTCCAAAAATCAGTTATGGACAAAGTTTGATAAATACAGCATGGTTCCCAAATCTTTATTGAGTGACAGGAGAAAATTTACATTTTTCAGCAAAGTAAAAGAGAGCATCTGTTGTTCATTTCAGTGACCAGTCCAGCCCAAACCATGACAACATCAAACAAGGAAACCAACTGAATAGCGCCAATATTCTCCTAAAAGCTCCAACTTCAGCCCTTGACTACCGCTGGAGTGGGAGTTCAGATTTAGTATGAAAGCCCAAGATATGTAGATGGAATTAATTGAATCTTCTCCTCCCTATTTTCCAGCATGAACGAGACAAACTGCAAGCAGTTAAAGAAAAACTGGATTGGGAGCTAAAAATTCTTCAGGAATCAGTGACAGCCTCTGAAACCCGAGCAAATACAGCAACAGATGTGAACCACTCCCTTGCACAAGAACTCCACACTACACTGTCCGTGTTAAAAATCAAAAATGAGGAAGTGGAAACGCAGTGGGAGAAAATCCAGATGCTCCAGAAAGAGGCAGCAGAGGTAAAAGCTTTGCAGGAGAATCTCACTCATATGACTGCCATCCTGTCCGAGAGGGAGGGAGAAATGAAGTTATGCCAGGAAAAGATGAGAATGCTGGAAAAGCAGAAAGAAATGGATAAAACTACTCTTGATCAGGTTATTAAGGACATAATGGAGAAAAAAGAGAAGACAGAATCCCAGCAAGAATGCATACAGGAGCTGGAGAAGCAGCAAGAAAGACAAAGGATTGCTGTAAGAAAAATGAGCAAAGAGCTGGAGCAGAGAGACCAGGAGATCAGATCCCAGCAAGAACTGATAGCAGAGCTGGAGAAACAGCGAGAAATGCAGAGGACTGTGGTGAGCAAGATGAGCAAAGAGCTGGAAGAGAGAGACCAGGAGGTCAGATCCCAGCAAGAAGAGATACGGGAGCTGGAGAAACAGCGAGAAACGCAGAGGAGTGCCTTCAGCAAGATGAGCAAAGAGCTGGAGGAGAGAGACCAGGAGGTCAGATCCCAGCAAGAACTGATAGCAGAGCTGGAGAAGCAGCAAGAAACGCAGAGAACTGCTGTCAGCAAGATGAGCAAAGAGCTGGAGCGGAGAGACCAGGAGATCAGATCCCAGCAAGAACTGATAGCAGAGCTGGAGAAACAGCGAGAAATGCAGAGGACTGTGATGAGCAAGATGAGCAAAGAGCTGGAAGAGAGAGACCAGGACGTCAGATCCCAGCAAGAAGAGATACGGGAGCTGGAGAAACAGCGAGAAACGCAGAGGAGTGCCTTCAGCAAGATGAGCAAAGAGCTGGAGGAGAAAGACCAGGAGGTCAGATCCCAGCAAGAACAGATACCGGAGCTGGAGAAACAGCAAGAAACGCAGAGGACTGCGGTGAGCAAGATGAGCAAAGAGCTGGAGGAGAGAGACCAGGAGGTCAGATCCCAGCAAGAACTGATAGCAGAGCTGGAGAAGCAGCAAGAAACGCAGAGAACTGCTGTCAGCAAGATGAGCAAAGAGCTGGAGCGGAGAGACCAGGAGATCAGATCCCAGCAAGAACTGATAGCAGAGCTGGAGAAACAGCGAGAAATGCAGAGGACTGTGATGAGCAAGATGAGCAAAGAGCTGGAAGAGAGAGACCAGGACGTCAGATCCCAGCAAGAAGAGATACGGGAGCTGGAGAAACAGCGAGAAACGCAGAGGAGTGCCTTCAGCAAGATGAGCAAAGAGCTGGAGGAGAAAGACCAGGAGGTCAGATCCCAGCAAGAACTGATAGCAGAGCTGGAGATGCAGCAAGAAACGCAGAGAACTGCTGTCAGCAAGATGAGCAAAGAGCTGGAGCGAAGAGACCAGGAAGTCAGATCCCAGCAAGAAAAGATACGGGAGCTGGAGAAACAGCGAGAAACGCAGAGGACTGCGGTGAGCAAGATGAGCAAAGAGCTGGAAGAGAGAGACCAGGAGGTCAGATCCCAGCAAGAAGAGATACAGGAGCTGGAGAAACAGCGAGAAACGCAGAGGACTGCGGTGAGCAAGATGAGCAAAGAGCTGGAAGAGAGAGACCAGGAGGTCAGATCCCAGCAAGAAAAGATACGGGAGCTGGAGAAACAGCGAGAAACGCAGAGGACTGCGGTGAGCAAGATGAGCAAAGAGCTGGAGGAGAGAGACCAGAAGATCAAATTCCAGGAGGGGAAAATAATGATTCTAGAACAACATGGTACATCACAAGTCAGAAATCTGCTTGTGGATCTTGATCATATGAGAGAAAACTTGAAGGAGAAAAACTTAGAGCTTATGTGTCTGACTCAGCAGATAGAAGAACTGGAAATGGAGAGAGAAGAGGTGAAATCTCTGCACACAAACCTTGAACACCTGAGGGCAGTTCTTAAGGACAGAGAGAACGAGTGTGATTCTAAAAGGGATCAGTTAAGACTCTTGCAGCAGTACAAGGAACAGCAAGAGGGGCACCTGCAAGAGCTTCATGGTAAAGTAGAAAAGTTGACACTTTCTTTATCTAAAAAAGATCAAGAGCTTGAGTCACAACACAAGCAAATCCAGGAAGCTAAAGAAGGCCTGGAAATGCGGTTAAGGACTGTCCGTGACCAACTGGAGCAGGCCTTAGAAACCTTAAAAGAAAAGGACAGGCTCATAGACGTCCAAAAGCAACAAGCAAAGAATTATGAGGAAAAAACAGAAGAACAGATGAATGTCTTACACAGAGACTTACAATACACTAAGGCAATACTGAAGGAAAAGGAATTCATGATTCAATCTCAGAAGGAAGTGATTGTGGCCTTACAAAAACAAGAACAGAACTCTGAACAGCAGAAGGAAACTCTGCAGCATCTTCAAGTGGAACTAAAAGAACAAGAACAAGAAATTTTATCCCTTAGACAGCAATGTGAGGCATGCAAGGAAAAGGAGGAAAAGCATGAAGCGGAGCAAACAAATCTTCAAGCAACAAATCTGACTCTGAAAGAAAGAGAAGAAAAGATACGTGTTCTGGAGGAGGCTATCTCTAAGCTTCAACAGCAAAAGGAGGAGGCAGTGATGCAGGCTAAAGCCATAATGCAAAAACTAGAGTACGCTGAGTCTTCTATAGAAGCTAGAGATCAAGAGATAGTGTCTTTGCAAGAGCGTATCCAGGACCTCCAAGAGCAGAAGGAGTTAGAAGGCAAGCAGGTCAAGAGTCTCCAGCAGGATCTAGACAAAATGACCAAAATAGTGAAGGAGAACCGTTTGGAGTTCCTCAGGCAGACAGAACAAATGAACATGTTCCGGCTTCATGGCGAAAGCATGAAAGTAGAACTAACATCATGCCGGAAGCAAGTGAATCTGCTGCAGGAAGCGGTGAGGAAGAGAAATGAAGACAATGAAACTCTTATGCAAAACCTCCAGCACCAAGAACAAGAACTGAAGACCTTGCAGAATCTCCAGCTTAGGCTAACTGAGAAGAATGAAGAGGTTAGACACCACAGAGAGCAAGAGAAGCTCCTGGAAGAAGCCTTGCCTGAGAGGGAACAAGAGACTGAGGCTCAAGGTGAGCAAAAAGAGTTAGAAGAGGAAATAAGAGGTCTTCGGGAAGATCTGCAGCATGTTCAGCAGACTCTGACAAAGAAGGATGAAGAGATCAAGTCCCAGAGAGACAGAGTCAGGTCTTTAGAGAAGACTCTGGCAAGGAGGGAACAAGAGCTGAGGAGGCAGAGTGGACTCCTGAAACAATTGACATCAGCTTTGCGATGGAAAGGTGATGATGAGACGCTAAAGAAACAACTGCAGAAACTCCGAAAGTGGGAGGAAGAGGAGGCAGAGAAGAGGAGAGTTCTCCAGGAGAGAGAGGGTCTCTTGCAAAGGCAGAAGGAGCTCACCCAGCAACTGGAAGATGAGCGGAAAGCAAAGCAGGAAGCAGTGGAGCGTGTGATAGCTATTTTGAAGCAGACCGAAAGCGGAGAAATGGAATGGAAGGAGAAGGCACAAGCACTGACTCGCGCCCTTTCCAAGAGCGAAATGTCCAACAAGACTCTGAGGGAAGAAATCGCCGTCCTGCAGAGTATGGTTTCCGAGAGGGACAGGGACCGGTTCCATCTTCAGGTAGGCACTGTGACTGATCATCAGTTTACTACCATCACAGCATCCCAGACTGGTCAGGGCTGGAAGGGCTCTCTGGAGCTCACCCAGTGCCACCCCCTGCCAGAGGAGGGGCACCTCCAGCAGTGGCACAGGACGGCGTCCAGGCGGGTTTGGAATGGCTCCAGAGGGGGAGACTCCCCCACCTCTCTGGGCAGCCTGTGCCACTGCTCTGCCACCCTCAAAGTAAAGCAGTTCCTCCTCATGTTTAGATGGAACTTCCTATGGTCAGGTTTGTGCCCATTACCTCCATATCTTGTCCTATCACTGGGCACGACTGAACAAAGACTGTTCCCATCCCCCTGGCGCCCTCCCTTTAAGTATTTATAAGCATTAATAAGATCCCCCCCGAAGTCTTTTTTTCTCCAGACTGAAAAGCCCCAAGTCCCTCAGTCTTTCCTCGTAAAAGAGATGTTCCAGTCCCCTCATCATCTTTGTAGCCCTTTGCTGGACCCTCTCCAGCAGTTCCTTGTCCTTCTTGAACTGGGGAGCCCAGAACTGGACACAATACTCTGCAGTACCCTACACTTGCCCTTGTTGAACTTCATTAGGTTCCTCTCTGCCCAACTCTCCAGCCTGTCCAGGTCTCACTGTAAGGCGGCACAGCCTTCTGGCGTGTCAGCCACTCCTCCCAAACTTGCTGATGGTATACGCTGTCCCTTCAGTGTTTATGAAGGATGCCAAAGGTCTTTCCCATCAAGGTATGGGCATATATATATTCCCGTAAATACCTGACCTGCTTGGCCAAAGAAACCCCATTGCAGGCAGCAGGCTTGCCTGTCTGCAGAGCTGCGGCCAGAGACCATCCCCCTGCTCGACTGTGTTCTGTCAAGCCCAGAACTACTGCCAGAACTGTGGAGCTGCTGTTGAGATTAACGCGAGTACCAAAGTTGGGGGTGGGGAGTGGGTTCTCTCCTCTCTCGGCAAGCTGAACCCCCGTGTGGTGGTTTGGGATTGTCACGGGAAGGAAAGGGCAGAGTTGAGCAAAGTCGTGTACTAAACTGAGTAGAACTTTGTAAGGATGGCTGAAGGGCAGCGACAGTGGTGGTGCTTAGAGGATGCTTTGAGAGATGGAGATGTGTGAGGTACAGCTTTTCCAGAGTATTGAAGGGAATGCAATTGGTACCATTGCCTGGTGAGGCTGAAGGCTTCGTTGGGCGTCCAGCACGTGCTTGTGCCGCAGTCCAAAAAGCACAGAGGCAAATTTGTGTGGATTTCTCCAAGGTGATCTGACCCGGGTAGTGCTGGCGGAACTGCTGCAACAGCCCATCCTCAAACTTGGCTGGGACCCTGCCATTATTTTAGCATTCTGTTAGTATATGGTCATATAAATTATGCTGCTAATAAAATACTGTATCTATGCATTATACATTTCCACATTATTTGAGAAATAGTACTACTGGCCTGATCAGAATGATGACAGGTATTGTGTTCTGTTGATGGGAAGCAGAGAAGGGACGAGAGCAGGAAACGTGAAAACAATGGGAGATTCCAGTTGCATCCGTCTAGATCAGGTATGCAACAGCGTTAGATGGGGCAATGCAGTTGCAGCCATATAGATCGGTGTGGTGGAGAGAACAAACCCAGAGTATTTTATCACTGCAGAAACACATATTCACCCACATCTTGCATGTTCGTCCAAGGACAGAGAGTAGAACTACGGGCAGGAAAATATACAGTGGAGGTCAAAAAGGATGACCAAAGATGTTATATAGCTTTCCTAAGAGGAACCTGTAAATGTGGAAGTCTTGAAGATGGACAAGAAATGGCTGAGAGAGGGAGCTGGAAATACTGCAGACATTTGTAAAACCATTAAGTGGTGGAATAGGAAATGAATATTTCCAGTCTCTCTCTGAACAGAATGGGGGACATTGAACAAAACCAGCAGGCAGCGTGTCCAGAAAAAACAACTCCAAGGTCCAAAATTTCTTCAGGGTGATCTGGAGGAGGGCCTCTAGGAAGGGAGTGTGTTGTTTTGGCCTTTGGAGCAGGAGGAGAAGATGGGACACAGCACTGTCCGTTCCTGAGTCCAGTGACTCTCCGAGACGTGTCGATTGTGGCCCTTCTAAGCTTTCTGTGGCACCAGCTCACGTCATCTCCTCTCTGAATTCCCAGCAGCCTGTTGCAGAAGGGCAGCAGCTACCATGGCCCTCAGAGAAGAGACTCCTGTCGGAGCGGGTGGAATGTCTGGAGCGAGCAGTGGCACAGCTGGACCTGGAGAAGATGGAGCTGAAGATCTACAATGCTGACCTCAGGAGGATTCTTGAGGAGGTAAAACAGGCTGTTGCTGCCTCTGCAAAGCCTCCCGGTCCTCTGGAAGACACTGCATTCCCACAGACAGCACTTTGGAGTCCTCTGCTTATTTCCTTCCCTCTGCCCCTTTCCCCTGTGGACACACACTTTTGTCTTTTCCCTCTCTTCTGGCACCCCGCTGCCTTCGCAGATGCACCTTCACTGCGGTACCCCCCTTCTTGCCCCACTGTCCCCATACACACCCACTTGCCCCCAACGTTGTGGGGTGCAGTGAACAGTCTCTGAGCAGAGAGCTCCTTGCCCTGCTGTCCAGAGGTGCCTTTGCTCCTTGTTTGGTGGCAGGTTTCTGTGACCCTTTCTGCTCTCCAACATGCAGGTGGAACGTGAGCGGAGGAGACTGAAGAGCCTTTGCAGAGGTCGGTCGCTGCCAGATGCAGGTGGAGTTTTTCTTGCTGAGGCTGAGCAGCACGAGATGCCTGCTTCTAGCCAGGTGAGACCCTTCCTTGGTGGAGGAGGCTCTGGCCGTACTGCGGAAGGATGGCAAATCCCAGTGGCAGCAGCCCCCAGGGTAGACCTCACGGAAGTTGAAGACAGTGGCCCTGACCAAAGTGGAGACCAAAAAGAAATCCTTGCCTTTCCTTCACAGGAGGACTTCAACGCACACTGCAGTCGTTGAGTAGCTGAGTTGCAGAACCAGGTGAGAAGCAGGAAAGCTCTCATCAAAAGTGGCTGTGGCTGTAGTGATGGGCACAACTTTGGCCGATGCCACAGTCCGAGTTTGGTTTGGCTGTCGGGAAGGGAGTCCAGCAGGCAGTGGGAATACCCAGTCAGACACGTCTGTTGGCCACGGCCAAACAGCATCATTCACCGCGGTCTGGTCTCTGACGTGCCCACAGGTCAGGCAGGGTGGGAGAGGGAGTGGAGGAGACTCAGACAACTGGAACTCGCTGGAAAACAGAGTGTTCGAAGGACATTCCCCTTGAGCCTGCCTCATCTCATTGACTGTTTCCATTTTCCCCTGACTCAGTTAACAGTGGAGCTTGCATTGTATCACCACCAGGGATCTGAGGCAGTGCCAGAGCTTACATACTTCAGGCAGTCATTTGTCTCGTGTTGCTGTGCTGTGCTCATCATGATCCCAGTATTGGACCGAGTCAGAGACCCAAGCTCTGTATGGACATTTGTTTTACCAGTGTAAGAATGTATATTCCAGCTGCTGAAACCTATTGCATCCTTTGACAGTGGCACTGGCAGTAGTTGCCGGAGTAATGTTCCATGTACTTTTATGAGTCTGGTACACCCTGGTCTCCCTGAAGAGGTGAATCTTCACCAGCTGTCAGGGAAAAACGCATGTAAGATTTGTGTGAGCAAAGTACACAATGGTTAGCTCTGGCAGGGACGCCAAGAATACTGCTGAAACCATCAAGTTCTATCTTAAAGGGTCTTCCTCATCTCGGTGACCCGTCCTGTTTTCCTTTTCCACGTGCTCGCTGCCAAGTTCTTAACCTCGATGATAACAGAACAGCTCTTCAGTGCCCGGGGTAAGCAGCAGCCCTCCTGCTGAGGAAGAAGCCTGTGGAACTGAGGGGGCAGCAGCCCACATGTGTCTTTTGGAAGAAGGAGTTGGGTTACTGAATGCTGTCAGAACCTCTCTCGTTCATGTCCACGTGAGGTCTGGGTGTTGTGTGTGTGAATGGTGTGCCAGAAAGAAGTGGAAGTGTTGGTAATGTGAGGTGAGGGTGACTCTGGGAAGGTGTGAGTTCCATTGCAGGAGGAGCAAGTGTTTGTCGGGGCGGGCGTCAGAGGGTGTGTCTTCCCCGACAGCCGCTCCCGTGGAGCTGCGGATGGGCCCAAGCGCGTGGGCTTGTCTGAGCTCGGCCTTTTGCCTCTTTCAGGTGTCCCTTCTGCAGACGCAGCTGGTGCAAGAACGAAAATACAAGCAGGACTATATTGAGTGCTGTGCAAAGACCAACCAGGAGCTGTCAGACCTTCACCAAGAGCTGGCTAACTCCTTAGCAGCTGTGGTCAGGGAGCCCGAACCTGCTGTTCTGGAAGCAGAGGCCCAGAAGCTTGATCAGTCTCTGAACGTCAACTTGGCACCAGTATCTCTGGACCATCAGTCTCCTGAGAGACAGCCATTGCATTCAACAGCCACATGCACCAGAAGCGATGACCTGAGGTAACAGGACCAGTGCACAGCAAAAGGCCTCAGTGGGAGCCACATCGGGGACCTGCTGTACCAGGTGAAGTGTGGCAGGGGCTTGGTTCAAGGCCTGAGTCCCAAAGCAAGACAGCAGTTCAGAGCACAGTGTTCAGAGAGCACAACAGCAACAGTGGTGGGACAAAACTGGTGCTGGCTGGTGTGGATGGGCTCAGGCGTAGGCCTGGAGAAGCGGGATGAACCTGATGAGCAAGTAAAATTTCTCCTTTTCCAAAGCACTCCATCACAACCTGCCTCCTCAGTCTCCACACAGCCCTCCACATGAGGTTGTTCCTGTCAGTTTTTGTACTGTATACAAAGACTTTGTGTCTGCTTTCATTTTTTCAATACACTTCTCCAAAAGTGTATTTGAGTGTATTTCTCTGAGCAGAAATCTCCTTGGAATGATGTCCTCTTACTGCTCTTTCTTCAGTACTGCTCCAGCTGTGCTTTCTCTGCGCAGAGCTCTTCATTTCTTCTTTCACACAAGCTCAGCTGCTCCTGGGCAGAGATCTTTGCTCTCTCCATCTCCTCCACTTCACCCGACAGAGCTTCATTCTCTCCCTCCAGCTGCAAGCACAGAAGCACACCGCAAATCAAAGACGCTGAGACTCACCAGGAAGAAGGTTTGGCTTGGACAGAAGAAGGAACAACATTCCCATCGGCAGTCAGTCACGCTGTCGGAAGGCACGAGCTCTGAGAAGCAGCAGCAGCTGGAGATGCACATCTGCCAAGACCTTGCCAACCCTGCTCACCTGCACCACCAGTTCCTTCAGATGCACTTTATCCAGGACCAGAGCTTCACTGGTCCTGCTCACGTTGGCTGTTGCCACACGCAGATCAGCGAGTTCAGCACTCAGCTGCCTCTGAGCCCCTCTCAGCTCTGCCACTGACTGCTCTGCCTGGAGAGAACAATTTCTGTGACCTGACGTGAGAAATGAATAGCAACACATGCTAAAACATCGAATAGTGATGAAAACTAAAATAAAATATGAACAAAGTCTATGCTGCAAAAATACCTCTCGGAATAAACTGCTCAGCCTCCAGTGGTCAGCTGAGAACACAGCACCTCCTTACTCACGGCTCCAGCTCGGCAGCTCATTCTGAAGACGGGGGAGACCCCCGACCTGCCTCCCCCCACACTGCCTACGGCAGCTCAGCGCCCGCCCTCGGCGATGGGTCGGGAGTCTCCGCCGGCAGAGAGAGACAAGAGACTTTGGGCCGCTCTTGGGCCACTGCACTGGGAAGGCCACAAGCCCACCTCTGCAGCCAGCAGCTCTCAGGGGAGGGCAGCCCGGAGGAGGCAGCGGGGGTGCGGAGGCAGGGCAGGCCCTCCTGGGCCGCCTCTTCCATGGGGCAACCAGCCTTGGCCCCAAATTGGGGCTCTTCACCTGCTGTGCAACAACCAGTTGACACAGAGTCGAGGGATTCTCTGCAGAATGGGGGGCCGGGCGGTTAACACCAGCCAGCACAGCACACAGGCTGACACATTTCCCCTTAATTAGCGTGCTCCTTATGGACAAAAGGCCCAGTTCAGTTCTAATTTCGGGAGGTCAGCTCACTTTCAAAGTTCTACTACAAGTTTATACAAAGCCCTATGTCACTTTTAAACCACATTTTTTCAACATCACTGGTGTCACCAAAATCAGGAATGAACCTCTTCACACCAATGCAGTCTATAAGAAGGCGGCATTCTTTATTCAGTGCTGGGGACACGGGGGATCTCTACACCCAACATGTCCCTCCAATACGAGATTCATTGCGACTTACATCTATACAGAATACGCATCGTCATTGCATCTCCCGGAACTCATTTCCATACTCATTACACTTCCCAGAACTCATAATAATATTTATATCACGCGCGCATTAAGTCCATTAGGGGCTTCACAGGGGGTCTTGGGGTGGTGTCCAGTGGTGGCACAGGAGTGAACTGTGGGTGAACTCTTGGTTGTCCTCTCTTGGAGTATCCGTTTGCCACTCTTGGGCCACTATGGCGGGTTTGGGCCAACGATATTAGAGGAACCCTTTGTGTGCACTGGGGAGATAGAAGCTTTTGCAATTACGGACGTGGCATGAGGTGGTATTCTTCACTGTTTGTTCTTACTCATAATTGCAAAAATGGCATTTAATTGCAAGAAATTCTAATTACTCATTTACATATTTGCTAGACTCTGAGTTCCTAGTTGTAACACTAGTAGAAGCTTTTCCGAACCTGCATGTTTACCAACCACTCTCTATTTTGTCCTTCCAAAATAGTTCAAAATGGCTTTTAATAACAAGAATGTAAAACCCCACTGTGACTCGGAGACAAATGTAAACAGGACAACTGCACCCCCATTGCCCAAAGCAACACAGAACACGTTCTGCAGCTTGGAAAGGCTGACCCACAGGGCACTTGGCCCCCCGCCTTGCCCTGCAGGACCTGACTCGAGGATGGGTGGCCTCCGGCACAGGGGCAGTGCCCAAAAGCCACGCTGGCCATGCACCACAGAGAAACCCCCAACCTGCCATCCTCCGGGGAGCGGCCCCACCGTGTAGGAAATGCAGGGGGCCCTGGTGTGGGGCCGTACTCACCCACAGACTCGGG